GGTCTTCTGCCCTGTTGAGAAAACAGAGCTTCGTCTTTCCATTCTCTGAACCCAACCCTCAACCCTTAGCCCAAATCAGAAGCCCCACCTGATAAAAACCCTGAGCCCTAAGCCCTCGCGCAACCCTAAGCCCCAAACCCTATACGGTTACTTCTCTAAATGAGGGTCCCTTTTTGGGGTCCTTACTATATGGCGGCCCCCATGGTTTAAGGTACCCAGAAAGCGTTTAGGGTTTAAGGGTTTAGGGGTTTAGGGTTTCGGGTCTAGGGTTAGGGTTTGGGGTTAGGTTTTAGGGTTTTAGGGTTTAGGGTTTAGGGTTTAGGGTTTACTGTTTAGGGTTTAGGGTTTAGGGTTTAGGGCCACATAGAGCCGCTTCGCCCCCGAGGTTGAAGATGTTCTAGGTGGAGCAGCCGCTTTTCCGCGGCCGAGGGATGAGGTCAGAGAGGTCGGACAGCCAGCCACGCCTTGCCAGAAAGTCCCCCTAAACCCTAAACCCTAAACCCTAAACCCTAAACCCTAAACCCTAAACCCTAAACCCTAAACCCTAAACCCTAAGCCCTAAGCCCTAAGCCCTAAACCAAATCCCCAACAAAACCCCGAAGTACCACCCTCTCTCTGCACCCTCTGGGAAGACCGACTTGGAGGCTCACGGGAACTTATGACCCCAATTCTAAGTCTACTTAGAACCAAATTTAGGGATGTTTAGGGATGTTTAGGGTTTAGGGTTTAGGGTTTAGGGTTTAGGGTCTTGGAGGACTTAGGGTGCTTAAAGGTGCAGCTAAAAATTGGGGTTAAACCTCCAAGTGCATGAAGGTTAGGGGTGATCCCATAAACTTTCTGACCTCCACCTAGGGGGTGGCTCATGCCCCTCCCAACTTCTCCTGCCCCCATTCCCTCTTCTTCAGTGTGTAGAGGATACTCCGACCCCGTAGCTTCACCGTTTCGGAAGCTCCAGGCCCTAAACCCCGAACCTTAAACCCTAAACCCTAAACCCTAAATCCTAAACCCTAAACCCTAAACCCTAAACCCTCTGAAGGTTAATCCGTTGGGGTGGGGTGGGGGTGGGGGGGGAGGGCACCCAAGCTTTCGGCATGGATAGGCATGGAGATTGTATGCCTCAGGGGTTTGAAAGGTGTTCGGATTGAGCGAGCAATAGACCCCTTGCCTTTTGCTCCCTTGTTTGAAGAAGTGCGGCCCTTCTGAACCGCATGAAAAACCAAAACATGAGCACCTCCTCCTCCTCCTTCTTCTTCTTCTTCTTCTTCTTCTTCTTCTGCTTCTTCTTCTGTTTCTTCTTATTCTTCTTCGTCGTAATATTCTTCTTCTTCTTCTTCTTCTTCTTCTGCTTCTTCTTCTGCTTCTTCTTCTGCTTCTTCTGCTTCTTCTGCTTCTGCTTGTTCTTAGGCAGGTGGGGAGCCTGGTCAGAAGATTAGCACACCCAAGCTTTGGGGTTTCTCATTGCAGGGCCGCCTCGGCCTCACTCCTGGGATTACCTCCCCCCCCCAAAAGGAGGGTTTGGGGTTTAGGGGTTTAGGGTTTAGGGTTTAGGGTTTAGGGTTTAGGGTTTAGGGTTTAGGGTTTAGGGTTTAGGGTTTAGGGTTTAGGGTTTAGGGGTCAAGACCTCAAGTTGTAGGGGATATGTGAAGATCTCGCCTACACCTGATTCCTGCACACCTCTTTAAGCCCGTCAACCCCCCCGAATGCCTTTGGGATGTCTGGGCGCGAGGCCATCCCCGCGCGCCGCGCCCTTTTCCTTCCAGTGAACGGCAGCGCCTTCGTTTTCCTACGCCAGGGCGCCGAAGTCCCTAGGGGGCGACAGCATGTTGCACTAGCTCTCCCTGTCAGGCCGCCCTTGTGCGGCACAGAGCCCCCAAAACCCGAGAAGTCCTGCCTTCCTCCAAGAGGAGGGTTTAGGGTTTAGGGTTTGGGGTTTCGGGTTTAGGGCTAGGGTTTAGGGTTTAGGTTTTAGTCCTTGAGCCTTACCAGGAACCCTCTTCTCGGGACTTCGGCTCCTCCACTGCCGAGTTTTCAACTGGCGACCCCCACCGATGTCACCCTGAACCCTAACCTCTGAACCCCGAAAACAACCCAAAGCCCTAAACCCTTAACCCTAAACCCCTAAACCCCTAAACCCCTAAACCCCCAAACCCCTAAACCCTAAACCCTAAACCCTAAACCCCGTTGAGAGAGAGGTTTAGTCACCGAGGACCCTGAAGCCTAAGGTGTACAAATGCTTTACCGCTCTGAGACTTGCCCAACATGCGGTGTCAATCATTCCTCACAAACCAACAGTGTAGGTAGGCTGAAAGGGTCGCGGTAGAAGGTTTAGGGTTTAGGGTCTGTCTGGTTTTGCTGTAAAGGGGACCTTTCGGGCTATGACTGCAGCTTTTTCGAACCGTAAGCCTTCCAAGAGTCTCGACCAATACGACGAAGTCTCTGAATTGCCCTGCATTGGGGGGAGAGTAGGGACACTACATTCCCCATGTCACAGCACAATCCCGCAGCGGACCCCTATTGGAAGCCTCAGCCCGTGCCCGCACTTAGGTCCGGGGCTCTCACGTGTGTCATACAAAGGGGTCATCCCTGACAAGAATGCACACCAGGCACACTAGTTTGCCTCCTTAAGAACGCAAGAACCAGGCATTTGTAGGTCGTTACCATACGGCTGCTTTTCGGATTCTCTGGCAACACACGAAAAAGTACCTTGGGGTTCTTAAGGTCGGGTTTAGAGGTTAGGGCTCAGGGCTTAGGGTGATGTGGGCATCGCTTTGCATGCCAGCCCTTGCGATGGGCGCGCGGGCTCCCCAGGGCGCGCTGGATAGCGTTCGGAGGAGGCCTGGTTTAGGATTTAGGATTTAGGATTTAGGATGTAGGATGTAGGATTTAGGATTTAGGATTTAGAGTTTAGTCATGGGGTTCTGCCTTGCACCCCTAAGGTTGCACCTTGGGTTTGGGGACCCTGTGTAAAGAGTAAAGATCCTTTAACGGGAATACAAGGGCCATGTTTTGGGGTACATCCTTAGGGGTACGAGTATTCATCCCACGACTTAGTGCTTGTCGGGCTTAGGGAATATGGATCGTGGTGTAATACCCAAACCCTAAACCCGAAACCCAAAACCCTAAACCTTAAACCTTAAACCCTAAGCCCTACGCCCTGCCCTAAACCCCACCTAAAGTGACGCTGAATGCAGGGGTGGGTGTGGGACATCACGCAACATCCGGCGCTTCCTAGAATTTCCTGCTGCAAGGTGTTCAGGCTTGCGACGGAGCAAGCTCGCCCTGCCTAACAGTGTACTCCCCCCCCCGCAGTTCAGTCCTTCATGATGTGGGTTGATTACAGCTTCTGTGGGCTTTAGCCTTGGTAGCCCGGTGGCGCCCTGACCATTTTTGGGGGTTCTGGGTTCCCTTCTAAACTAACCAACCTTAAAAAAAGGTGCCCTCATCATGATATTGGTACCCGTGCCCAACCCTAAACCCCCCCAAATCCTAAGCCCCTCCCTGAACACCCGGGCCAGAATTCAACGCAGCTTTCCCCGCCTTGCCCAGCCCACGGCAAAGCCGGGCCAGAGGCACCTGGGCATTTCTTCCATGCCCCCTCGCACCCCCCCTCCCCCCCGCCAAAACCGGGGGATTGCCTTCTGGAGGAGCCCTCGCCACATCTGTGCCTCCGTCAGATTTCCTCAGCCCTAAACCCTAAACCCTAAACCCTAAACCCTACTATAGGGTTTGGGGTCAGGGTCGACCCGCCTCCGGCCCAAACTCATTTCAGAGGGGCCATGAAAGAAACATCTCTAGGTCTCTAGGTTTAGGGTTTAGGCTTTGGGGCTGGGTAGAACCCTACGATTCCTAGCCTAAATCCCAAACCCTGAACCCTAAAACCCTAAACCCTAAACCCTAAACCCTAAACCGGGTTTACGGCTTAGGGTTTAGGGTTTAGGGCTTACAGGGCTGGACCTTAAGTTGCTCTCCTTCAGACATGCCTCACGACTTTTTTAAAGCCACCTAAAGAGTTTTGACATGACACCATAGGCACCCTATTAAAGGGCATCAGTTTTTTTTGCAGCTACCATAGAAACTAAAGCCTTTGCATAAGTTGTTTAGGTAACTTAAATGCCAAATTCACCCTGAATAAGCGCGAATCGGTAGGTTTAGGGGCACATCTCTGGCTGAGGACCCTCCTTACCGCAGACCCGTAACGTGCGTGTGCGACGGCTGCGCAGAAAGAAGCAGGCCTTGGCTTTCTAAGATGTCGGATCTAGTTAATGCAATATACAGTGCTTAGGCTTGTTGATCTTTTAAACACTTCAAAATAAGAAGTTCGCGAAGGTTACTGAGAATCAGCCCAAAACGCCCAAGCGAAGCCCCGGCGCGGTCCTAAGGTACCTCACACCAACCATCTATCGCAGGTACGCAAGGAGAAGCTGCAAGCCCCCCAAGTCCCCATTGCTTTCCTTGACTCCTATCCCGAAACCCGAAAACCGAAGCATTCCGACTAAATCTGGGGCCTTTAACCGCAAGCCAAAGACTAAACCCCAAACTTCCCAGACCCTATACTACCTATAAATCGCATTAAGTCATTAAGCGCATGATCCGTCTAAGCCCTATACACTCGGTTAGCCTTCTGAGCCTATAAGCCCTTCAGCCAAACCCTCCTCAACCCGAACCTACTCTACTCGCGGAAACCCCGCATTTCCCTGTGTGGGCTTGGGGGTGAGGGTTTAGGGTTGTTTAAACCCTAAAACCTCAAGCCCCTGTAACTTGACGTTATATGCCTCAATACTTTCAACAAACTCCAAACTCCAAACTCCAAACTCCTAAACCCTAAACCCTAAACCCTAAACCCTAAACCCTAAACCCTAAACCCTAAACCCTAGACCCTAAACCCTAAACCCTAAACCCTAAACCCTAAACCCTAAATCCTAAACCCTAAACCCTAAACCCTAAACCCTAAACCCTAACCCTAAACCCTAAACCCTAAACCCTAAACCCTAAACCTTCAGGTACCTCTATATGCTCCTTGAGCACTGCCCTGGCGGCTCCCTGCGATCTCTCTGCGCGCGACAGCCGCACTACCGCCTTGGGGAGGCGTGGAGTAGGGTTTAGGGTTTAGGGTTTAGGGTTTAGGTTTAGGGTTTAGGGTTTAGGGTTGCCAAAACCCTAAACCTTAAACCCTAAACCCCCTGAACACCCAACTCTCCCCAACAACCCACGTCCGACTTGAGAGCCCCAAAGCCCTAGAACCCCGAACCCTAAACTATCCCAAGCCCTGAGAACCCCAAGCCCCTCAAGAAGCCCAACACTTATTTGACCTACTTGTTGCGTAGTTAGGGTTTAGGGTTTGGGGTTTGGGGTATGGTGTAGGGTTTGGGGTTTAGGGTTTGGAGTTTGGGGTTTAGGGTGTAGGGCTTAGGGGCAAGCAAGAAGCCAAGAACCCCTTCGAGGATCCTTGAGGGAACCTACCCAAAATCGTGGGCACTGGGTTCTCGGAGAATTTCTCCGGAAGTTCTTTGAGGGCAAACGGCTGCCAGGGAACGGCTGCCCGCTACTTTGCCCAGATCTTGCAGGCACGGTCCTCATCTTCGGGCTTGGGAGCGTGAGGGTTTAGGGTTTCTTGTTTTTTGATTTTATATTTTTTTGCTTAAGGGGTTTTAGGGCGTTTAGGGCTTTTAGGGTTTTAGAGTTTTTAGGGTCTTTAGGGCCTTTAGGGCCTTTAGGGTTTCAGGGTTTTTAGGGTTTCAGATGTAAGGTGTAGAGGGTGACCTGATATCAGACTGCCCTGATGAAGCGTTTAAGCCCTAAGCCTATCGCAGTTGTGTTTCATGTTCGGGTCGGGTGAGATGCGAGCGACTCGATCCCTAAACCCTCAACCCAAAACCCTCAACCCTAAACCCTAAACCCTAAACCCTAAACCCTAAACCCTCGTTTCAACTCATAGAGGAGCCACTTGTAGGTGTCCGTTTGCACCTGCGGACGCCCGAAAACCCAATAAACACCTTCTGATCGCTACATCCTACCCGCCATTGCATACACGTTTGGTTTCAGTTGCTTCTCTTGCTACTTTTCTCATTTACTTGGAGACAATCAGACTTGCAATTTTCAATGCGGCTCCCAAAGGCCTAAACCCTACACCCAAAAACCTAAACCCCACGCCCTAAACCCTAAACCCTCATCCCAAACCCGGAAGACGCATCTTTCCTCTCAGGGTGTCGAGTTCATGCACCGGAAGTGCTACGTCCACCGGGACTTGAAAGAGGCGCCCAGGGGTACAAGGTTCCGTGGGGTTTAGGGTTTGCGGTCTAGACTTTAGGGTTTTGGGTTTAGGGTTCTAGGGTTTCTTTTCTCGCTTTTCTGACAATGCATCCAGGGGTATTCTATGGGTACATGGTTTTGGGTGCGCCCATATATATGCCCTATGCCCAAACATAGGGTTCGTGTTCGAAGGTTGAGGTAGGTAGCGTTCAGGGTCGAGGGTCTCCGAACTTAGGACAACAGGATGGTCCCCACTTGCCTTAAACCCTAAACCCTAAACCCTAATCCCTAAAACCTAAACCCTAAACCCTGTATACCCTAAACCCGGTATACCCTAAAGCATGGCAGTGTATGGGCTGCAGGAGAACATGCTCCTGACCTCCGATGATGAGGTGCATGGGGAAGGGGACTCCCTGCAGTTTTCTGTAGCTCTGGGGTGCAACGAATGCGGCAGAGAGGGTTACGGAATGCGGTTTCGGGCTTAGAGTCTATAGGTCCCGTGTACTGCACGGATTTGAGTTTCAACGGCTGGTGGCCAGGGACCCTGAACCCTAAAGCCTAAACCCGAAACTCCCTGCACCAGAAGATGTTGGCAACTCATATGCCACGGCAGCCGCTTGCTTGCCAGCTGTGCCACCAGCATCCATGCAATCCTTCCGTACCTCCACAACCCTAAGCCAAGACACACACTATAAATGGCCTTAACCCCTTAAACCCTAAAGCCCTAAACCCCCTTAAGCCCTAAAGCCTTAAAACCCTATACCGCAGTCTTAGCCTAAACCCTCTTAGCCTCTGAACCCTCGGCCACCCCCTAACGCTCCCTAGGGTTTAGGGTTTAGGGTTTAGGGTTTAGGGTTTAGGGTTTAGGGTTTAGGGTTTAGGGTCCTTAGGGTGTAGGCTGGGGGTCTTCCGTGGCCCCTCCCTTGAAGCAGCAAGAGACATGGCCATGGTGCAGCCGACGGTGGTGGGCGAGGTCCGCGGGGACTCGGATCATCCCGGTTTAGGGTTTAGGGTTTAGGGTTTAGGGTTTAGGGTTTAGGGTCCTGCACCCTAAACCCCTTGGCCCTTAAACCCGACGAGCCCGATAGAGTTCCTAGAACCCTAGAATCCCTGTAAACCCTGTAGCCCCCTATAGAACCTCCTTGACCATGCACAGGTTGGCCATGGAGTCTTATGTTCAAAAATGGCAAGCAAGGGGTGTTAAGGCGCGATCAGGGTGTAGAGCACCAATGCAGACAGCTAGGCTGTTTGTGGCATTCCTTTGTCGTAGTCGGGTACCATTTTGCATTTTTAAGGGCACTTCAACCCCATAAGGAAGAAAACGTAAATTTAATATTATCCCAACCACGAACTAGATTCTGGGCATCCTTCCTAGAGAAGTAGAGTCTCCTTAATTCGAGGCCAGCACACGAGAAAAAAGCCGGTGATTCGGGTAAACCTCGCGCATGTCAGTCGTTCTCAGCAGCGGAAGGAGTACGCGGAGCGCTTCCAAGCCCTAAACCCTAAACCCTAAACCCTAAACCCTCTCTTACTATGTATATTTAAACCCTAATGACCTTCGTGACCATGTTGTTTTTTTTTCTGGGCCCTAAACCCTGACCTCCTTCGTGACCAAATTGTTTTTTTTCCTGGGCCGTGCCTCCAAAAACACCCCAAATGAGGGGGACCCCAGGATCGGCCCGGGTCCCAGTTCAAAATGCGATTTTTTAGTACTGAAATCGACGCTTCTGGGTGGGCTCTCGTTTTCTGGATTTTTGATCAAAACCGAGCCTTTGGGCCCTAAACCCTGACCCCCTTCGTGACCAAATGGTTTTTTTCCACCCGGGGGGGCCCTAAACCCTGACCCCCTTCGTGACCAAATGGTTTTTTTCCACCCGGGGGGGCCCTAAACCCTGACCCCCTTCGTGACCAAATGGTTTTTTTCCACCCGGGGGGGCCCTAACCCTGACCCCCTTCGTGACCAAATTGTTTTTTTCCACCCGGGGGGGCCCTAAACCCTGACCCCCTTCGTGACCAAATGGTTTTTTTCCACCCGGGGGGGGCCCTAAACCCTGACCCCCTTCGTGACCAAATGGTTTTTTTCCACCCGGGGGGGCCCTAAACCCTGACCCCCTTCGTGACCAAATTGTTTTTTTCCACCCGGGGGGGCCCTAAACCCTGACCCCCTTCGTGACCAAATGGTTTTTTTCCCCCCGGGAAGGCCCTAAACCCTGACCCCCTTCGTGACCAAATGGTTTTTTTCCCCCCCGGGGGGGCCCTAAACCCTGACCCCCTTCGTGACCAAACGGTTGTTTTCCCCCAGGGGGGGGCCCTAGGGAAAGTTTGCCTCCAAAACCACCCCAAATGCACCCCCCACCCCACCCTCCCCGGTTTGAGAATTAGATTTTGGTTTTTCGGCCAATTGGACCTTGAGCTTTAAGCCTACTGGGAATGTATTGAGTGGACTTTGTATTTTCTCAATGTTATGGGTTTCTTGGGTGGGTGGGGTTTTATTCCAGCCCTTGACAAGCTGCTCGACTAGTGAATGCTCGGACTTGAGATGCTGAACCCTAAACCCTAAACCCTAAACAGTGGGTCTCCTATAGACCTGAAAGTGCCCACTTTTGGGGGCTTATGAACTCAGCAAGTAAGCTATCCTTTCCCCAGACTCGTGGGATTCCACTGTGCTTGAGAGAGCCGTACTAAGGGGTATGGGGCTTGGTGAGTTCGAGCGTTGTTTGGAGGGCTTGGGCTGTGTGTTTTTTCTTTTCTTTTGTGGGCACTGTGCGTGCCCTAAACCCTAAACCCTAAACCCTAACCCCTAACCCCTAAACCCTAAACCCTAAACCCTAAACCCTAAACCCTAAACCCTCAGGTACTTTGCAGGGATTTCAGATGCCAGCAGCAGGTGTTCAGTGATCGCCCCGTTGCCGGCTTGGGCGCTCCTCCCAACTTCTCGCCCTCGCCTGGGCGGCCCAGATGTCCGAAGTCTTTGGGTTTAGGCACTGAACCCTAAACCCTAAACCCTAAACCCTAAACCCTAAACCCTAAACCCTGAACCCTAAACCCTAAACCCTAAACCCTAAACCCTAAACCTTTAGGGCTTAGGGTTTGTGACTCCGGGTCCGCAAGGTTATTTTCGGGTTTAGGGTACGTAGGCGGGTTCGGGGTGTGTTTGTGTGGATGAAGCTGGCGAAGAAAGCGGCGGAAGATGTAGAGCGCTGCTTGCCTACCTGAACCCTCAAACTGCTATCTCTACCCCTGACAAGGGAACCCTAAACCCTAAGCCCCAAACCCTAAACCCTAAACATGACAAACAACCCTGAAGCCCTACCCTAGGGGGGTGCAGGTACTACCAATAATAAACCCTAAACCCTAAACCCTAAACTCTAAACCGCCGGCAAAAGCGGCCCAGGTCCGAATTCGCCGGCCTCCAGTCGGTTAGCGTCACCGTGGACGGCAAGGATCGCTTCCGGGCTTGGTGCGCTTTTTTGGTTATAGGGTTTAGGGTTTAGGGTTTAGGGTTTAGGGTTTAGGGTTTGTAGGGTCTTGGGGTTTTGTGGTTGTACGGGTTTTGTTTTCGGGTCCAAAAAAGGGCTGGAGAGGGTTTCTCGGCTTAGGGCTTGGGATGTTTGGGCTTCGGGTTTGGGGCCTAGCGCTTCGGGTTTTTGGAGAAATTTAGGGTTTTTATGTGGGTTAGTAGGGCGTTGTAGGGTTTCATAGGGGCTTTATAGGCCGTTCTGTTTTCGCGTCCTTCAGGTCCCAATCCCCTGCAGACAAAATTCCTGAAAACCCCCAAGCCCCAAATGGCCCCAAAGTCTGGTGCCATCATCCCTTAGCCTTAAGTGTTTAGGGTTTAGGGTTTAGGGTTTAGGGTTTAGGGTTTAGGGTTTCCCAAACCCCAAACCCTTAGAGCACCGACTCGTGGCAGTTTCAAGAGCCGTATCAAAAGGTTGGGGAGGGAGTTCGGCTTGGTACAAAAAGAAACAAAACCGCGCCCTGCACCGTCTGCGGCTCGGGTTTAGGGTTTAGGGTTTAGGGTTTAGGGTTTAGGGTTTAGGGTTTAGGGTTTAGGGTTTAGGGTTTAGGGTTTAGGGTTTAGGGTTAACCCTTGACCCTAAAACCTATAGCCCGAAGCCCTCAGCCAGCTGGTTGAGTGCAGCCGAAGAACAGGAAGAGGTGGTCAAAATCGATCCGGAAGGAGGGCCCCTCATGCTGCGACGCGTGGTGCTCAGACGCGAGAGTCGCTGCCAACCTTTAGGCGGGTGTAGGGTTTAGGGTTTAGGGTTTCGGGTTTGGGGTTTAGGGTTTAGGGTTTAGGGTTTAGGGTTTAGGGTTTGGGGCATTGGGTTGTTCAGGGCCGTGGCCCTACTAACCGACCTCCCTCCTCGTCCTGACCTACACAACAAACTTGTGTGTTGGTTGGAGAAGCAAGCTATCGGGTCTTGGGTTTCTTACTCAGCCAAGAATTCAACATTCAACTTTTGGGCTTCCTTGTGTAGTTGGAACTAAACCCTAAACCCTAAACCCTAAACCCTAAACCCTAAACCCTAAACCCTAAACCCTAAACCCTAAACCCTAAACCCTACGAAACCCTACTGTAAACCCTACTGTAAACCCTAAACCCTAACATGGGTATTGGAGAAGTAAGGTTTCAGGTTCAGGGCCTCATAAGGGGCCAGGCTGGGCAGACGAAGGCTGGGCCGAGGGCTTGAGACCTTACATAGATCGGCTTCAACGGTTTTTTTAGGGTTTAGGGTTTAGGGTTTAGGGTTTAGGGTTTAGGGTTTAGGGTTTAGGCTTGAGCTTCGTGTTCTTGGAGCCAGCGGTTTCGAGGCCCTGAGACTTTTACCCTTAAACTGTTAGGGGTTGGGTTTTAGGGTTTAGGGGCTGGGGGTTAGGGTTTGAGGTGTAGGGTTTACCGGCAGTCCACGCACAGGCAGAGGGCACGTTTTCAGGGAGCCAACCAGCCAATAAGGCGATGGATCCACGACGTTCGCAATGATCACCTTCACCGAGGTCGGTTCGCTGCAGGATGGTTTCCCCCAACCCTCCCCCCCGCGTTTAGGGTTTAGGGTTTAGGGTTTAGGGTTTAGGGTTTAGGGTTTAGGGTTGTGGAGGCTGGTGGGCCTGACTAGCAAGTTGTAGCCGCCTTTCCCCACTCGAAAGTTGGTTTTTGAACCCCAAGCCCTAAACCCGAAGCACACAAGACCCTAGGCCCGAACCTCATAAAATCTCGGTAGTCCCTTGAGACATGGTATATTTTCCTCTACTGATGTTAAGAGAATCATATTCATGAATGTTGTTGAGAGGGTATAAACATGTAAACATGTTTAAACAGGGGCATTCTAGAAAACTTAAGTTTTTGATTCTCTTCTAGGTAGTCCAGAAAACCTTCAGGAAGAAGGATGCC